ATGGACCTAGGTATTTGCAAGACCGCCTCCTACCAAACACCTCCCTTCGACCAGTCCGCTCCCACAGAGAGGGCCTCCTTAGGGTGCCGTCGGCCAGACAATGCCGGCTGGCGACCCCCAGGGGGAGAGCCTTCTCTGTGGCAGCTCCTGCCCTCTGGAATGACCTACCCCCCGACCTACGTACAGTTGCGGACCTGCGTCTTTTCCGCCGAGCCTTGAAAACCCATCTATTCCATGCGGCCGGCCTGGCGTAGTTTTGATTGTGTTTTGGTAGGGGTTTTTATAGGGGGTATTTTAGAGCAGGCTTTTTATTTAATATTTATTGTGATTTTTATTATCGCCTGTTCACCGCCCTGAGTCCCGTAAGGGAGATAGGGCGGTATATAAATTTAAATAATAAATAAATAGTCCTGCCTTAGGCATCAAGGGTGGCTAAGTGAGTTTGGGCCAATCACCAGGAGACGGTGAGTTCTAATCCTGCCTTAGGCATGAAAGCCGGCTGGGTGACTTTGGGCCAATCACCAGGAGACGGTGAGTTCTAGTCCCGCCTTAGGCAGGAAAGGAGGCTGGCTGACTTTGGGCCAATCACCAGGAGACGGTGAGTTCTAGTCCCGCCTTAGGCAGGAAAGGAGGCTGGCTGACTTTGGGCCAATCACCAGGAGACGGCGAGTTCTAGTCCTGCCAGCTGGGTGCCTTTGGGCCTACAACTCTTGAATCTCAGCCGTCAAGGCGCCTGATTCGAGGCTTCCCATCCTACTTGTTCACATTCCTTCAACCTAACGTCTTTGGTCCCATCCTCTGGGGCCCTCCTAAACTCCCCGAAGGGCAAAAAAGTCAAGATGGCCACCACCCCCCTCCGATCCCCGTCCTCCTGTATCCGTCTGCCGCCTTGCAAAAAGAGCTTTTCTTCCCCCCCCCTTTCTCTCTCCCTCCTCTCAGCGGCACCGCCATCATGCAGGACGGCAACACCCTGCGCAACAACTACGGCTGCGACCTGGACTCGCTGACCACCGCCTCGCGCATCGGCATGATGCGGACGGCCAAGGGGGACCTGCATTACTTCATCAACAGCGTGGACCAGGGGGTGGCTTGCTCCGGGCTGCCCCCAGGGAAGGGTGAGGCCATGGAGGGAAGGCCCAAAGTGGGGGACACGGGGCTGGGACGGGCCTTTAAGAGGAGTGCAATTCCCAGAAGAGGAGGAGGAGGAGGAGGAAGAGGGCAGGGCGGGTGGGGAGGGAGGGGCCCTTCTCCTGTGGGGTTCAAAGGAGCCTGGTGTGGCTTCTTGGCTCCCTTACCCCTCTCTTTCTCCCCCCTCCAGAGGTCTACGCCGTGGTGGACCTCTACGGCCAGTGTGTCCAGGTGTCCATCACCAGCTCCACCGGCCCGCTGGACAACAGCCTCTCCACCAGCAACATCACGGAGAAATCCTTCCCCATCCACTCACCAGGTGAGCACACCCCCCCCCCCCGAGGGTTCAGGCCAGGGAGGGAGGGAAGGAAGGGAGGGAGGGAGGGAGGGAAAGGAGACGGGAGAGAGGAAAATAGACGGAAGGAAGGAGGGAAGGAAGAAGGAGAGGGAGGGAGGAGAGAAGGAAGGAAGGAAGGAAGGAAGGGAAAGGATGAGAAGTGGGAAGGAAGGAAAATAGAAGGAGGGAGGGAGGGAAAGAGGAAAGTAGAAGGGAGGGAGAAGGGAAATAGACGGAAGGAAGGAAGAAGAGGGAGGAAAGAAGAAGAGGGAGGGAGGAAGGGAAAGGATGAGAAAAAGGAAGGAAGGAAAATAGAGGGAAGGAAGAAAGGGAAAGGATGAGAAAGGGAGGAAGGAAAATAGACAGAAGAAAAGAGGAAAGGGAACGAGGGAGGGAGTAAAATAGACGGAAGGAAGGAAGAAGAGGGAGGAAGGAATGAAGGAGGGAGGGAGGAAAGGAAAGAAGGAAGGAAGGGAAAGGATGAGGAGGGAGGGAGGAAAATAGAGGGAAGGAAGAAGAAGGGAGGGAAGGAAATAAAAGAGGGAAATAGACAGAAGGAAGGGAAGAGGGAGGGAAGAAGGGAAAGGATGAGAAGGAGGGAGGAAGGAAAATAGACAGAAGGAAGGAGGAAAGAGGAAAGGGAACGAAGGAGGGAGGAAAATGGAAGGAAGGAAGAAGAGGGAGGAAGGAAAGGAAGGAGGGAGAGAGGAAGGAAGGAAAGGAAAGAAGGAAGGAAGGAAGGAAGGGAAAGGATGAGGAGGGAGGGAGGGAAATAGAAGGAAGGAAAGAGGGAGGGAGGGAAGAAGGGAAAGGAGAAGGAAGGAAGGAAAATGGAAGGAAGAAAGGAAGGAAGGAAAGGAAAGGATGAGAAGGAGGGAGGGAAAGAGGAAAGAGAAGGAGGGAGGGAGGTAAATGGAAGGAAGGAGGGAGGGAGGGAAGGAAGCCGCCAGGCCCCACTGACCGCCTGGCCTCGTCCCCCCCCCGTCCCTCCTGCCCAGTGCCCGGGGTCGCCCACCGCTTCCACAGCGCCTGCGGGAAGAACGTGGCCTTCCAGGATGACGGCTGCCGGGCCCTGCGGGTCTCCGGCTTCTGCCACGGCATCGTTTTCAGCATGAAGGAACTGAAGACGGGCGAGGTCTTCGAGGTGAGGGCCTGGCGAGGCCATGCAGACGGGCCCCAGCTGCGCTCGGGGTGAGGGCGCCCCATGGAGACGCCCCTGGAACACCGGAGGGGAGGGGAGGATGGGAGCCGTGCTGGGTGTCGGGCAGTCCTCCATAAACGACCAAAATGGAGCCGGCGCATTGCAGGGAGTCCTCAACTTAAATAACGCTTTGTTTAGCGACCATTCAAAGTTGCGACGGTGGTGAAAAAAAGGGACTTAACGACCATTTTTCACGCTGCAGCATCCGCTGGACAAAATCCAGACGTTTGGCCACTGGCTCATACTTACGACGGTTGCAGCGTCCCGGGAGGGTGTGTGCGTCGCGTGATCCCCTTTTGCGACTTTCCGGCCAGCCAGAGTCAACGGGGGAAGCCACGTTGACTTAACCACCGTGTTGCTCGCTTAACCACGGCAGCGATTCGCTTAGCGACGCTGGCCAGGGAGGTCGTAAAAACGGAGCGAAACTCGCTTAACGACCGTCTGGCTTAGCGAAATACATTTTGGTCGTATCTCGAGGGCGACCGACGAATCCGAGCCCTTTCGGAAACCCTCAAATGCAGTTGGCCAATGTCTCGCTTAGTAACGGACAATCGGGGCTGCGTTGTGGTGGTCAATCGAGGACTTCCTGTACGGTTGTAACGTCGCGACGGTCGTAAAACTGATTGGCCGACATAGTTTTGACGACTTTTTCTGCAGCGCTTGTTAAGCAAACACTGCAGTCACTAAGCGACCGCACCGCCCCTCCAAGGACAAAGAAGTGTTTTAAACACATTGGGGGGGGCTACTTCAACGTTACACGCACCTCGCTTGAAGTTCCCGCTCCTCCTTTCTCTCTCCAGGTGAAGATTGACGAGGTGGACGAGAAGTGGTCGGGGTCCGTCCAGGTGGGCTTGACCACCCTGCTGCCCTCGGACGCCACCTGCATGGCCACGGGGCTGCCCTCCTCCCTCTTGGAGCTCCGGTCGAAAGTGACCTGGCTAGTGACGGGCTCCGAGGTCCGGCGCAACGGCGTCCTGCAGAAGCAGAATTACGGGTGCTCTCTGGAGCGTCTCGGGGTGAGTTGGGGGGCTGGGGAGGGGGTGTCTGCGAGCCAAAACTAGGTGAAGGTCAACCCCAGGGAAGTCACCGTAGATCAGGGCGTTTCAACCAGTGGTACGGGTACCACCTGTAGTACATGGGCACCTGGCAGGTGGTACGCGACCATCCTAGAAAAGTGGTAGCGGGGGAGGGGAATGAGCTGAACCGGTGGCAGCACCGCACAAGCCTGAGCGAGAGACGGCTGGAGCTGCAGGGCTGTCAGGGCTCAGCGGAAGCGCCAGGATCAGCGCCAGGATCAGTGCCAGGCTCCAGCTGGAGCTCGACGCTGATCCTGGTGCTTCCGCTGAGCCCAGAAGAAGCGCCGATCAGCTGGAATGTTGCAGCCTCTCCAGGGTCTTGTGATTTACATTCAGATGCTTGGCAACCGATTCATATTTATGACGGTCACAGTGTCCCAGGGTCATGTGAAGGGACCAAAACCTGCTGCAACCACCCAGCAGATGGGGGGGGGGAATAAAAACCAAACACCCCCCCACCCCACCCCCGCTGCCAATCCTCAACAGAAATGCTCACAACAATGAACACCTCGGACAGGAGGAAGAGCGCGACCGGGTGGGCAGGCAGGTGTCTTGCTCGGCTGTGGCTTGGGGGGCACTTTTTTCAGTGCCATTGTAACTTCTAAGAGTCACTAAGCGAACTGTTGTAAGTCGAGGACTACCTGTACTTCATCACTTTTTTCCCTTTTTTGGGGGGGTCATCAAGTTTTTGACCCCTTGCTAGGCGACTGGTGGTCCTCGGATGTTGCCGTATCCTAAAAGTGGTACAATGGGTGAAAAGGTTGAAAAGCCCTGCCGTAGATCACCCTTCTCCAACCTCGGAAACCGTAAGACCTGTGGACTTCAACTCTCAGAATTCCCCCTGCCAGCTTCTTCTTCTTCTTCTTCTTCTTCTTCTTCTTCTTCTTCTTCTTCTTCTTCTTCTTCTTCTTCTTCTTCTTCTTCTTCTTCTTCTTCTTCTTCTTCTTCTTCTTCTTCTTCTTCTTCTTCTTCTTCTTCTTCTTCTTCTTCTTCTTCTTCTTCTTCTTCTTCTTCTTCTTCTTCTTCTTCTTCTTCTTCTTCTTCTTCTTCTTCTTCTTCTTCTTCTTCTTCTTCTTCTTCTTCTTCTTCTTCTTCCTCCTCTTCCTCTTCTTCCTCTTCCCCTTCCTCTTCTTCTTCTTCTTCCTCCTCTTCTTCTTCTTCCTCTTCTTCCTCTTCCTCTTCCCCTTCTTCTTCTTCCTCTTCTTCCTCTTCCTCTTCCTCCTCCCCTTCTTTTTCTTCTTCTTCCTCTTCCTCTTCCCCTTCTTCTTCTTCCCCTTCTTCTTTCTCTTCTTCCTCTTCCTCTTTCTCTTCCTCTTCCTCCTCCCCTTCTTCTTCTTCTTCTTCTTCTTCTTCTTCTTCTTCTTCTTCTTCTTCTTCTTCTTCTTCTTCCTCCTCTTCCTCTTCTTCCTCTTCCTCTTCCTCTTCTTCTTCTTCTTCTTCCTCCTCTTCTTCTTCTTCCTCTTCCTCTTCTTCCTCTTCCTCTTCCCCTTCTTCTTCCTCTTCCTCTTCTTCCTCTTCCTCTTCCTCCTCCCCTTCTTCTTTTTCTTCTTCTTCTTCCTCTTCCTCTTCCCCTTCTTCTTCCCCTTCTTCTTTCTCTTCTTCCTCTTTCTCTTCCTCTTCCTCCTCCCCTTCTTCTTCTTCTTCTTCTTCCCCCCCCCCCCAACTTGGCCAGTCAAGATCTATTACGTCGACTGCCTTCCCACCGTCTATTAAGAAAGTCATACTATCCAAAAAAAAGTTAAATTAAACCATATTTCTTCTCGTCCTATCCGTCTGGATTCCGGTAATGGCGTGCCGGCTGGGGAATTCTGGGAGTTGAAGTCCACAAGTTGCCAAGTTTGAGCCAGACAGACTGGCTCTGTCCTCAACCTACGACCGTAATTGAACCAAACACGTTTCCTTTTGGCTAAGCGAGGCATTTGTTGAGCGCCTTTTGCCCCGTTTTTACGACCTTCCTTACCCCGGTTGCTGAGGTGAACCGCTGCGGGCGAGGGGCCTGTGGGACGTCCGATAAGCAGAGCCCGTGGGCTCCGTTTTACGACCGTCCTGCCATGGCACGCTGCGACCGTCGTAAACAGGAGCCGGTGGCCAAGCAGCCGAATCCTGATAACTGACCGCCTTAGCGATGCTGCCACGGTCATTAACGGTGAAAAACGGTCACGAGTCCCTTTTTCCAGTGATGCTGTGAACTGGGAGCCGTCGCTAAACGCGCCGTCGTAAGCCGGGGACTGCCTCTGTTTCTCCTCCAGGTGGGGAGCCGTGTGGGCGTGAAGCGCTGCACGGACGACACCATGCATGTGCTGGTCGACGGGGAGGACATGGGGCCGGCCGCCACTGGCGTGGCCAAGGTGAGGGGGCCACGGGGGGCCGGGCTGGCTGTGGGCTGTGGGTGGGGGGGTGGGGGGGCCGTAAAAATGGGGGCATCCGGTCCCAGCAAAGAGGGGGTCCAGCAGGAGAGGGCCGGGGTCTCCCCGGGCCACAGGGAGGGTTGGGAGGGCTGGAGACCCCCCCCCCAATTGGAGGAGTCTGCTGGGGAGAGACCGGATGGAAGAGAAAGAAGGGGAAAGGAAGGATGGGAGGGAAGGAGGAGGAGGAAGGGAGGAAGGAAATGGGAGTGAGAAAAAGGAAAGGAAGGAAGGAAAATAGACAAGGAAGGAAGGCAATGGGAAAGAAAAAGGAAGGGAGCGAAAGGGAAGGGAAGGAGGAAGATTAGAGGAAGGAAGGGAAGAAGAAGGGAATGGGAATGAGAAAAGGAGGGAAAGAAAAGGAAGGAAGGAAAATAGACAAGGAAGGTGATGGGAATGAGGAAAGAGGGAGGGAAAGAAAAAGGGAGCGGAAGGAAAGAAGGGAAGGAAGGAAGATTAGAGGAAAGAAGGAAGGGAATGGGAATGAAAAGGAGGGAGCAAAAGAAGGGAAGGAAGGAGGGAGGGAAAATAGACATGGATGGTGAGGGGAATGAGAAGAAGGAAGGAAGGAAGGAGGGGGCGAAAGGAAAGAAGGGAAGAAAGGAGGGAGGGAAAGGAAAATAGACAAGGTGATGGGAATGAGGAAAGAGGGAAAGAAAAAGGAAGGAGGGAGGGAAAGGAAAGGAAAGAAGGGAAGAAAGGAGGGAGGGAAAGGAAAGGAAGGAAGGAAAATTGACAAGGAAGGAAGGTGATGGGAATGAGGAAAGGGAAAGAAAAAGGGAGCGAAAGGGGAAGGAAGATTAGAGGGAGGAAGGAAGGAAGGAAAATTGACAAGGAAGGTGATGGCAGTGAGAAAGAAGGAGAGAAAGGAAAGAAGGGAAGGAAGGAAGAAAAATAGACAAGGAAGGTGAGGGGAATGAGAAGAAGGAAAGAGGGAAGGGGAGGGAGGGAGGAAGGAAAATAGACAAGGACGGATGGTGAGGGGAATGAGAAGAAGGAGGGAGCGAAAGGAAGGAAGGAAGGAAGGAAGGAAGGAGGGAGGGAGCGAAAGGAAAGAAGGGAAGGAAGGAGGCTGATGGCGATCCCGTGTCTCTCTCTCTCCCTCCGGCCTCCAGAACGTCTCCGTGGTGCTGGACCTCTACGGCCGGGTCACCTCCGTCTCCATCGTCAGCTCCAGCCTGCTGGAAGAGGCCGAGGCCACCCACCCGCCCTCCCTCGCCTCCGAGCCCTACAGCGAGGGGGAGGAGGAGGAGCCCACCCCGGTCCGTGCCCCTGGCCCCCTTCCCTTCCCACGCCCCGGGGGGGGGCAGAGAGGCTGGACAGCCTAGCGGCTAGAGCAGCCTTCC